GTCTCCAACTCCTGAGCTCAGTCAATCCACCCACCTCGGCCTTCCAGAGAGCCACAACACCTGGCCTATTTATTTGTTTTTTGAGACAGAGTCTCATTTTGTCACCCCCGGTAGAGTACACAGCTCACAGCAACCTCAAATTATGGGACTCAAGAAATTCTCTTGCCTCAGCCTCCCTAGTAGCTGGGACTATAGGAGCTTACCACAGTGCCTGTCTATTTTTAGAGGTGGTCTGGCTCTTGCTCAGGCTGGTCTCCAACTCTTGAGCTCAAGCAATCCACCTGCCTCAGCCTCCCAGAGTGCTAGGATTACAGGCATGAGCCACTTCACCTGGCCCTGTTACAATTTAAAAAATTAATCTGATGACTGATAAGAATCACACTTAACAATACATTAATTTAGAAAGAATAGACATCCAGGAATATGATATCTATATTTATTCAGTCTTCCTTTATATTTCTGAGAATTGTTAAGTGCTGAAAACCAAGTTCTGGAAGCGCATAAACTGATATGCAAGGGTCTGTTTTCAGTCAGACACCACAGTCCTATAACTTAACCAGTCAGTCTGAAGAAGATTGAAATAATGTCCAGGTTGCCCCAGGGAAGAAAGTTGTTAGAGATATTATATCAAGCTTGCAGTTACTACTGAATTTGGCTACATGAAAGTAAAATATGTAGAAAACAAGGTTATAAACTCAGCATGAGGTTTGGGGAAAATGCTGACAAATCCAATGTATTTCTTTCTTTCTTTTTTTTTTCTTGAGACAGAGTCTCACTTTCTTGTCCCTGGTAGAGCGCCGTGGCATCATAGCTCACAGCAACCTCAAACTCTTGGGCTCAAGATTTTTTTTCTTTGTTTAAGAGACTGGGTCTCCCTCTTGCTCAGGCTGGTCTCAAACTCATGCGCTCAAGGGATCCACCTGCCTCAGCTTCCCAGGGTGAGGAGATTATAGATAAAAGCCACTGCGCCTGGTCTTTCCAATGCATTTTTTGAGGCCAGGGACCAGGTTTGATTCACTTTTGTATTCCCCACCGGTACCACATGCTTGCATACATGAGCAATCATTGGATGTCTGTTTAATAAACAAACAATAAGTGTATTGACTTAAATTCTTGACCTTAAACTCTAAACCACACTAAAGATGTGTTATGGTTATTGTTATGCTACATCAGCTTCCATGAGTGATTTATTTTACTGTTCATATGATCTGAACAACTTATCACTGGATATTTCATTAATGTCAACAATATTTTGCACTCATTTAAAGGATGACAGAATCACTAAAAATGGCATAAATTTAATAGCACTGAAAGTATGCATACTATCAATCCAACACATTGAAATATAATTTTATAAAATATTGTTTAAGAAGCAGAACAACAACAAAAAAACCCCAGCAGACTATCAGCCAGGTTCTGTGGCTCACACCTGTAATCTTGGCACTCTGGGAGGCCAAGGCAGGTAGATTACTTGAGCTCAGGAGTTCCAGACCAGCCTGAGCAAGAGTGAGACCTTGTCTCTACTAAAAGTAGAAAAATCAGTTGGGTGTAGTGGCAGGCGCCTGCTACTTGGGAGGGTAAGGCAAGAGGATTGCTCAAGCCCAAGAGTTTGAGGGTACTGTGAGCTATGATGCCATGGCATTCTACCCAGGGTTCACTTTTATAATTCCAGCACTTAGAGATAGAAGGATCATGTGAGGGTAGGAGTTCAAGACCAGCCTAAGCAATAAAATCAGACTCCCATCTCTAGAAAAATATTAATAAAAATAAAAAATAAATTAGTGGCTGGGCATGGTGGCTCACACCTGTAGCTTAGCAGTCTAGGAGGTGGAGATGGTAGGATCACTTGAGGTCAGGAGTTCAAGACCAGCCTGAGCAAAATCCTGTCTCTACTGCTATGTAAAAAAAGAAAAAATTATCTGGGTATTGTGGTAGATGCCTATAGTCCCAGGTACTCAGGAGGCTGAGGCAGGAAGATTGCTTGAATCCAGGAGTTTGAAGTTGCTGTGAGGCAGGCTGACCCCACAATACTCTAACTTGGACAACAGAGTGAGACTCTGTCTCAAAAAAGAAAAAAAAAGTGAAACCTAAATGTCCATCATTAGTTAAATAAATACATAAATAATAGCTAACATTTATTGAGTACCTACCCTGTGCTACCTTCTATGCAATTCACATACAATAATTACAAAACAACCTTACTAGGTAAGTACTCTTATTATCCCATTTTACAGACCAGGAATCTAAAATATAGAAGCCTTACAACACTTCTCTAAGGTGTATATATATATAGCTAACAAGTAGTGAATTAGGCTTTGACATAAACTGTGATATGTTCTTAGGATGGAATATTCCATGGCATCAGTGAGAGCTATGTGTATGCATAGAAACAGCAGGAAACCAGTATAATTGTAGGCCATGTGATACCATTTAATTAAATGAAATCTACACAAATCAGTGTTACACATATACACAATTTAAAAACAGACTGAAAACTCAGGTTATAGTTGCCCCTGGGGATGCTGTATGAAGGTGTTTAAAGTAGACTTTATATATATTAAATAATTATTAATTCTGAGTGGTAAGAATATGGATATAGGCTAGTCTTTGTGCTTCTCTGTATTGTTTAATTCAGAATAAAGAAAAGAATACCTAGTTAAGTCAAACTCTTAAGAATCAACCTTAACTCATTATGTTTAAACATAACTTTTCTATGTCCTCATCTCTATTAATAACTGATTAAATCAGAGTAACACATTCATTGCTTCAAAATGCAAATATTTTTCAAACATCTTTCACATGCAGGCATTGTGGCAAGTTTTAGATATAGGCCCTTAAATAGCTCATAGTCTACTCAGGAGACTAGCATTAAAGGAATACTCATTTCCAGAATAAAGTCTGATAAATTCTAAGAAAGAAAAGAAAGTGTATAATGAAAGCCTATAAATGTGGTACCAGATTCAAAGGGAAGTAGGGATTATGATAATTCAGTTACCAATTTACAGATATGAATCCATTTACAGATATGTACTGAGTACCTACTACATTGAATAAGCACGCAATCTGAATTACTTTTAATTTTTATAACAATTGCATGTAGAAGCATTACTAGCTACATTTTACAAATGATTTAATTAAGTCATGATTAGCATCACACACAGCAAGTGTGATTCACACTCAATTCTGACTCTAGAACCTGTGCTCTTTGAGATTACAGTAAAACCAAACAACTTTGGCTCTACTCTGTCTCGACTCATTCTCTTCTTATTCTTTATCCTACACCCCAGAATTTGTTCATTTGGAAGGGCAAACTCAACCATAGGAACTCTTTCAATATACGTCCTGGAACATTTTAAAGTTGTAGAGATTAGTGTATCAGCGAATTCTGAAATAATCTGAGCTTTCTTGGCTGAGCAAAAGGCAAGTCACTTAAAACTCTGTGTTGTTCATGGAGGAGTTAGTAATGAAGCTGCCATTCTCGAGCACCCATTATGTGCCAGGTGGAGGATAAATTATAGTGAAGAAAATACACGATTCTCGCTGTCAAGGAGTTTACAGTCAGTTGGGCAGTCATACATTAAATACTTAAAAATATGTGTACAACTTTGATAAGCAGTACTGTATAAAAGGTATTGAAGACCGAGCCAAGTGAAGAAAATATGAAAGACCTAATTTAGACCGGAGATAGGGGATCAGATAAATCTACCAAAAACCACACAAAAAGTGTTTAGTATCCTAGGACGCAAAATGCTAAACTCTCCGAAAAACCCCCAGGAGGCGGTGCGATCTCGGCGCCCCATTGTCCCGTTAGGGGTTGACGGACGAGGTTTGGGGTACGCAGTGAGGGGAGCTTTCATCACTCGCACTTTCTGATTTTTTTTCTTAGTGTCTTCCCGGTATCTTTATGCTGGATCCTCGGCTCGGCTGTGCCAATCTCCTGCCATGTCAATGTACCTTTGGAACCCGATTTTGAGGTTTTTCTCTCCTCGTGTCCCGCAAGCCTATAAACTTCACGTAGGCGGCTCCTCGGACGCTTCATGGCCTCGCCATTTCACTTGGCGTTCCTTTCTGGCTGGCGGCAGGTGCCC